AATAGTGTTTTCTCTTTGCATAGGCAGGAGCAAGTCTTTATCCATGTGTTCATATAATCCTTTAAAAAACGTACAAAGTGCACCACTGCTGTCAGTGTGACTCCTGTGACTTACCATTTATCAATGTTGGACATCACTCTATAGTTGAGCGATTTGCTTCCCAAAGGATTACAATGTTAGGAAATATTTAATGAAGAAAAATTTCCTATCAGTGAGGGCTGACAGTTTCTATGGCAATGTTACCAATTTTAATCTAAAAGCAATCATATTTCTATGAAAATATGTACACAGCAGCCATCCACATAAATGACAATATCACCACAAAAACAAAAAGTTATTTCCTAATTGGCTTAGCCTTTTGCAATTCATATATATGAACAATCTTTCATTTTCAACTTAAATTGCAATTTGCTTTCAGCTTTATACAATTTCTACCTCTTTTGTTTTTAACTGCAGCACCATATTGTTACAAAATAAAGCTCCCCTAGATATTTCAAGCAAAAGATGACAAACATTTCCATAAATCCAATACCAATAATTCAAGGAGGCAATAGACATACATGTTGGTGTTCTTTTTGGCAAATGCTTCTGAACTTCTACATTTTAACAATCACATGTTCTTCAACTCAGAAAACATGTTATATTTTCCATGTTTCTCCAATTCTCTTCTCAGTTCTTGGCAACAAAGAACACAAGAGTCCTTCTTCAAAAGCCAGGGATGAATACATAAACATCCACACAAATTTTTCTTTAGGGTATACTATTAGCAGCATGTTGTTAATTGCTAAGGTAGAGAATCAGTTTCTATACTTTATGAAAAAGTCCTTTCTTCTCTACAAATTTCTGTGTGGTGATCAGAAATATTAAAGCCAAGACATAAGAATAGAATTCCCAAATCTCATTTTGTTAGACTTGTATTATTCAAAGTAAAAGCCCAAAATGTGTGAAATAAGTTTAAATTTTTGGGAGTCTCAGTATGTTATAGAACCAAGAGGTTTGCAAATGCATTTTGGGGAGTATATAATCTGATATTTTTAGCTAAAACAAATCATACACCTAATTTGTGCAAGAATAACATAGAAAGTGCCTGGCACCTAGATCTCTAACTAGATGGATTAATCTGTTTATCGTTCTAACCACAGATCATAACAATTAACATACCATAAAGTAACAGCAGAATAGTAAGGTTATAATATAATAAAAAGAATATTATGTAGAAGGTCAAAACAAGATATACCCAGTACTACAACTACGAATTTAAGCATTTCTTTCTAAATAACAGCAAAGTAAAAGTCACAACCTGGCTGCTCATATTTGGAAACATTGTCTGCAAGAAGATAATTGAATTGTTCAAGATCCAAACCCTTGAGTTCACCTACCATCAATTATTTGACCATAATCAGATTATAAATGGGCAATGGAGGACATTATTATAAATTAAATAATTAATAATGGGGAGGGAGGGAGGGGGCATTTACAACATCTTCTTTCAAGATATGAAGAGGGCACTGGCTACAGACGAAGAGATATAAAAGCCCTTCTCAATAAGGCACTGGTAATATTAACCAGGTACTGGGTGAGATTTCTATATAGTTTATACAGTGATGATACCAAGATAAAGTTTGGATGATTGTACTGCAGCGGCATCTTTATTGCCATCTCTTTAAAAAAAAACTTATCTCTAACATTTTTTTTCTGTTCTGAGACATTCTCCCAAAGGTGATAAGGAATAAATTGGTGAGTGACAAAATTTAGTTAATTGATTCCCAACTGTGTAATGGAGAAAACATGTGGCAAAGCAGGATTCCTGAAGGTTTTCTACAGTAGGTTCTTTTAATGCCCAATAATGGAAGATGCATTTTAATGGAGATGGAAGGTAATCTCCATCCTTCAATAAGCAGCTCTTGAGGAGGCCCACCTTCCTTATGAAGTTGTTTTGGATTACATCCAATTAGATAATAACCAGCCTGGGCCTCATAGCATATGGGCTATTACCTGGCCTGGGAATATTTTCAGGGCGGGGCTACCAGTGCCCTTCTTTATAAACTGGTGGGCTTTAAAGTTTGAGAAAAAGCACACTAGGTTTTAGCCACAATGTGTTGAAGTCATGATCTGGCACTCACCTATCACTAAATAGTTTTATGTATCATGGCAAGCCAAGCCAAACTAAAGCTAATTATAACTAGGCATTACATGGGAACCTAGCCAGTGAGCAAACATGTGTATAAAACATATTCTTAGGGACATTTACTGAGATAAGATTTTTTTTTACTTTTTGTTACTTCATAAGCATTTTATTAGAAAAAAACAATAATTCAAGTTGCATTTTGCCTAAAATAAAATTCTCAGAGAAAATTTTATCTGGATTTAGTAAACTATTCCTAAATGTATGTTTACCAGAATTCTTGAAAGAATGACCATCAGATTATCTTAACTGGAGACATAAAAAAAAATTGAGAGTTCATAGAACTATATGTAAGGGTCATATATCCCGTTGGTACATTTTTAAATTTAGTATTTATATTCATGGGAAAATATTTAAATGTTAAAGGAGTTAATGTGATTTTGAATTACATGAGCCACCCAGAATCATACTATTAGGGAGATAAGCAATACATAAATTTAATAAATACAAATAAAATAAATATACTAAGATTTGCAATCTGATTATATATAATTGTACTGTTCATTGAGGTTAATGTAATCATTCTGAGAAATTAGAAACGTAATATAACAGGAGTAATGCTTTTGGAAACATGTAACTTATCTGTTTTGGAAAAAGCAATATTCTTTACTAATCAAAGGGTGAAGCAACCTGTATTATTTGGGCAGGGACTGTATATTTTGCAATAATATTTTGTATTTAATTGTACTATAGTACCACATGGTATTAATTAATAATCCAGGCACTATTGATCAATCAAAGGTAGATTATTAGTTTTAGCTCATTGGATTATTTTTCTCCTTTTCATTTTTTGGTTTCTATTCATTTTTAAAGTTAGGTTTATATTTCATATTTTTAAAATAATTTAAATAATTTTTTAAATGGTACAATAGAAATAATCCGCTGTTCAAAGCTTAGATTTATAAAATTGCTCAGAGGCCATCTCCAATTTCAAAGCAAGGAAGAAAACTGGAACTAGCCACACTTACTAAAGGGGTGGAAGAAGTCAACACTGTGAATATTAATTTGGATACCTGATCATGGCACAAGGCACTGTGTGTACTCCAACACACATAGGAAAGGCAATGGTGGTGTTCATCAAGATTATTATGAATAATATAACAGAAAGGAGCATGTTTTAGGGGCACTATATGTTACTCACACATTAGATAATCTTGAGATGTCACAGAATCATCCATTCAGCTTTGTAATTTGTTTTGAATGCCCTAACGTATTTATTTCCTAGTAATGTGCAGTAATCAACACATTCAGAAAAAAAGGTCTGGCATAATTATGACTTTCTTGAAGTCAAATACTAAGGAAGGCCAGAAGACGCACCTCTCAATATTATCTACCTGTCACTACTATATTGATATTCTAGAGATGGTATCATATTGCTACAATATCAATTCTACATGCGATACAATCCTTTACACGCTTATCCTGGAATACGCTACACTTAATGCAATAAGTATTATATCTAATAAACATAGGCATGGATATTTTATACCATATGGTAATGTACGCTTGTGTTAAAATACATTATAAAAGATACAAATAATATAATTAAAATAATATAAAGGTAAAAGTAAAAGGTTGTATGTTTAAATCTAGCAGCCCAATGAGAGAATTTAGGACAGTTCTTTATCTTTTCCACTGAAATCAAAAAGGACTCAATATTTATTTCAAGGAAAATACATTAAACTGCATATATGTTGTAGCTCTGGCTTTTACCAGTAAGAGATTCAGCCATAAGCACAGAATTTTAGCTTGTCTAATTAATGTAAAAAAGCAAAATGGAATAAAGTATTGATGAACTTTATTTAGCTCCATCAGGCAACTGTAGTGATTTGTCAGGAAAGACCTGATGCTTCAGCAATGATAAGGCTAAGTAGATGTAATTTTTCCATATTTATTTTAAGCCTCTGGTTGGAAGATCACCAGAGTCTAATAGAAGAATGAAAAAAGGTTTAAGAGAAGCTTCTAAAACTGACTCTTGTTTTTTTTAGAAATGCCTTACTTAATGTTATTTTTTTCTCATAGAAAGGACACGTGATGCTGAAGCAGCATGCTTAGCATGGTGGTGCATTTCAGAAAGCCTACACAAACAGGGAGAGAATTATTATTAGCACTTAGCCTATTTCTTCAAATAGGAAAGTTAACTAATATTGATCTCTTCTCCAAGAATTAAAGGACTGGTGAACATCAGTCAATCTTCAGACATAACAGAATGTGGAGAAGTAGGAAACACCCAAGAGAAAAGTGAGGAATAAGAGGATATGGCCACTGGATAAATAGAAAAGAATAGTGGAAAAGAAGAGAGCCAACTCACAGAAACCAATATTAGGAGCAATTTCATACATACATGCATGCATACATGCATGCATACATGCATGCATACATACATACATACACACATACTACATACATACATAGGCAAATCCATACTTGTTCAGGTGTATTCATGCCATACATCTATGCACACGGATACCCACAGCAAATGTATGAATTGACAACATGTAGAAGTAACATGTACAAATGGCTGAAGAATCAGGGGATCCATAAAGGTTAGGAAATAAATTATCAAAATTCATCCTTAGGCTTATACAGTATGGACATTATGCAAGACATATGCAAAACGTCAGGTGCCTAGATGTATTTATCCATTCATTCCAGAATTATATTCTTTCTCAAGCCATTGCAACGTAGAAGAAATAAAAGCCACACGTTCCCTATTTCGAGGAACACCTCATATTACACGCATCATCACTGCCTCTCCCTCCCCCTCCCACCTCTGTATCTTTCTTTGCACAAACGCTTCACCTCGCCTACTCACCTCTCGTCGTTCTGCCATCCCTGATCTCCCAATAGCAAATCCCGGAACCTGTATCTCGGAGGAAGCGGAGGAACCTCATTCTCCAGGTCTACCATCCTGAAAGGGAGAGGAGGTTAGTATCCCCTGCACTCCTCGCAGGGATACTGACGGCAGCAGCAGTAAGAAGCAAGATGAACACGGTGACTCCAAAAACGAGACTTGAGCCCGTGCTTAAAGGAGGACCCAGGAGGGTGCGATGCGACCAGGCGCTTGCTTTTTCGCACAAGCCGAACATGCAGCAATCTGTTGCACCTGCTGGCAAAGTTATTTCAAAGCTTCGCCCCGCTTTGCAACCTAGATCGCAACAGGAGGCAGAGGAGGGAGGGGGCGCGCGCACACGCACCGCAGCCAACCGGCCAGCGTCTCCAGATGCACGCGCAGGTCTCTCAGCCTGCCGGGATCGGCAACAAAGGGTTGCCTACCGTCTTTCTTGCTTGCCATCCTTCCCCGGCCATGCAAATGTCGTTTGGAGCTGCCGCTGAGAGCTCGGCCAATCGGGATTGGCCCTCAGGAGCTTGAATGTGGTGACGTACCGGGAACCTCGCCTTCTCCGCCAATAGCCTTTTCCTCCTTCATTAATATTCGGCGGCTGGGAGAGGGTAATTCTCTCAGGCCGGAGAAGGGGCGCGGTTGGGTGAATGGGGGTAACCCCTTGAGTGACGGGCGCGCCCTCCTTGTAAGGTGCCCCCTGGAGTGACAGCGCCGCCGCCTGTAAGGTAGCCCGCCCTGAACTCTGCGTAAGTGCTTGGGTTTCCATTGTGTAAGAAAAGCAGCTGGTCGGCAAGGGTTATTTGCGCGGCCAGGTATTCAAACAGCAAATAGCATTTTCCCCCCCTTTCCTTCAGCCTCGTGACAATAGAAGGGGCGCGGGCGCGTCCTTCGCCCGGAAAGCCCTTCGGAGCTCCCAATCCTAGGCGGATTCTTGCGCGTCTCAGCCGGCGAGAGAATGGGAATCGCACGGGAGCCAGGCAAGATGGGCAAACCTTTCCTATGGTTCTCTTGGTGTTAGCTTTTGCACCACCTAAGTTGCTCGTAGAAGGGTCTAACCGCCTTGGGCGGTAGTTCCCGCAACACGCTTTACCCGGGTTTAGCTCGTACTACGGTTAACTTTGAAGTGTCTGGGTTTGCACGACCCCGTCCGCTGGATCAGCCTCCTCAGGTTAAAAAGGTACCATTTCTGGCTTCTTGTACATCCGAAAGCTAAGGCTGCCCTCTCCCGACTCTAGAGAAGCCTTCCCCATCTTGTGGCTCGCACACACACATACACTATGTAATGGCATATTGTCTGTGTCACCTGAACACACGCACATACACACCTTTCCCACCACTCTTGCTCAGTGGCCACATTGACGTTCTCTCTCTCACACATACACACATACACACTCTCCTTTCCCACCGGCTCAATGGCCATATTGGCTGAAGATGGTGGAAGCTGTGCAAAACACACCTGGAGGGTACCAATTTGGGAAAGGCTGCTGTAGGCCGAGCAGAGTAAAGATTCAGGAGCCACGTGACTCTTGGTGACTCTTCTACCAGGAGAGGGTGAAGAACAGAATGGCTCTTTGGGGGACCGCTCAATAGACCCCCATGCGGCCCTCTAGTGAGCAAACCGGGACAGTGGCTGAACAGTACATGGAGAAATATACTGAATCAATTAAAAATCCCATACCTGGGCCAAGTGGCTGTTACTTTATTATTTTCAAAGAAGCGTTTACTATAGTAGAATATGTGGCTCATTTCTATTTTTGGAAAATACAAGTGTTTACAACCTACACTTGATTCTGCACCCTTAATAGCCGGGTGGGATTCAAATTTTTAACAACCAGTTCTGTGGGTGTGGCTTAGGTGGTGGGTGTGGCTTGGTGGTCATGTGACTGGATGGACATGGCTTGGTGGGCATGTTATTGGCTGGGCATGGCCAACTCAGTATCACTCACATCAAGGCACTCATCTCGCCTGGCCTCATGACTGTGGGGATGCTGCAACATGTTGTAAGTGTGAAAAACGGTCATAAGTCACTTTTTTCAGTGCCATTGTAACTTTGGTCACTCCACACAAGCAAAGTACCAGTAAAGGAGGGGGGAAAAAACTCCAGAGAAGTTCCTGAGACAGAAAGTCTAGTCCTGCCAAGAATGTAATAAGGGTTAATGGAGAGGGAGTTTCTGTAAGCAACACCAGAATATTTCCTTCCTTCCTTCCTTACAGGATTAGGCCAGTAATTTCTTCTAACAACCAGTTCTCCAAACTGCTTAGAATGTTAACAACCTGTTCTAGCGAATAGGTGCGAACTGGTAGAATCCCACCCTTGTTTAATAGCAATTTGAAATGGAACGGTTTTCTTAGTTCCTCCAGTCCTAATTGTTTTGAAGAGGAAAAAGGTTGTATTCAAATTTGTTATTTGGATAGATTCATGGTCAAGAATACTTTGTAGAGACACCCTTCTCTGTAGTAATGTCCCATACTGATGATTGTAATATTGGTCGTAATCATTGTAATCTTGGTTGATATGATAATTTCCATAAATTTGCATATGTATTAGAAGCTACTTTTGTTTTTAATCATGTGTTTTAAGGCTTGTAAGATGCCTAGACTCATGAGGGAGTCAGCCATATAATCCTACAAAAAATAATTACACCACATTTGATGCTGTGAGTTTTCACTGTATTCTTGTAATAAGAGGTACTTTTAGTGCATTCCAAAGTATTTGTCTTCCATAATCTGGTAACAAAGGCCTCAAAATTCATTTGGTGAACTTGTGGGTTAGATTTTAGGAAGTGTTGATATTACCACTTTCGTTGGACTTGTAGTGAAACAAGGCAAAGTACAATTTTGAAGTTATTTCCCAACCTCTTTCACTTCCCCATATAATCAGGCGTGACAGGACCTAGTGCGAAATCCCTTCCAGGGAAAGAAAAAACAGGAAGATCACACTTTTTTGTTAAACTGATACTTGTACATTTTCAAAGCAGCTAGACGATGTATGCATGCCATATTAAGTTGGAGTTGATAATTCTAGTGTTAATCAATACAAAAGCAGCCCATCTTTAAAATGATTAAATATCTTATTAATGCTATTTTAATAGCAATACCAATATAGTGCTTTACAGCCCTCTCTATGCAGTTTACAGAGTCAGCATATTACCCCCAATAATCTGGGTCCTCATTTTACTGATCTCAGAAGGATGGAAGGCTGAGTCAACCTTAAGCCTGGTGAGATTTGAACTGCCAAATTGCAGGCAGCTGGCAGGCAGCTGAAGTAGCCTCCAGTACTGCACTCTAAACTGGCACCGTGACATAATTTTCTTCAGATCATTAGAACCAGTTGGGTATACTTTTATAACATAGTTTCTCGGCGGCAGCTTAGAAAGCACCTGAGACAGAAAACATCTTTCACCAGTTCAGACTGCTTTAGAATTGTGCCCATATGCTGACAGAATTAGGATTGGATCTTTTTTGTCTTTCTTTAAATCCTGAAGTTTGTAAAATTCCAGATCTAGTTTGGTATAGTAGTTAAGGCATCAGGCTAGAAACCAGGAGTATTAGGCCTGCCTGAGGCACAAAGCAAGCTGGGTGACTTTGGACCAGTCACTTTACACCCTAGGAAGAAGGCAATGTCAAGCCTCTTGAAAAATACTGCCAAGAAAACTGCAGTGACTAATCCAAGAAACCAAGAGACAGCAAAAAAAAAAAAAAAAGATATGCTGTAGGCTCACATTAAAAGCTAATAGGAACACAACACTGGCAGAAAGGGAGGATTCAGGGCTCCACAATGGATTTAAAAAGTCTACTCCCTTGTTAAATGCCAGATTTTTGAGATATAAAAAAAAAACACCAAAATAAATCACTTCAGAATTTTTCCACCCTTAACATATAACCTATATAAGCCTAGTGGGGGATAAAAACACAACAATGTGGCTGCATAACTGTTAACATGTTAAATAGTCAGTACATACCTGCGATCAAGTTTTGGAATGGCTGAGCCAGACCAGGGACTTAAATGCAACTGAAAATCTGTAGGGTAACCTAAAGAGAACTGTGCACAGGAGATGTCCTCGCAATCTGACATATCTGGAGCACTTTGGCAAGAAAGAGTTGGCATGCTGATGGGCTCATATCACAAAAGGCTAAATGCTGGCATAAAAACAAAGGGTCCTTAAGCAAAGTATTAGTTTAAGAACCTGTATTTTTATGCAGTCATATTATTGTATCTTTTTTGTTGTCATTTTCAGCCCTAAAAGATTTCAGTTTGTTTTTTTATTGACTTGTATAGATTATATGTTATGTTAAAGGTGGAAAAAATTCTGAAGTTATGTATCTTGATCTGTTTTTTTTTTAACATCTCAAAAACCTGGCATTTTAACAGTGATATATAGACTTTCTATATCCACTGTATGTGACTCATAGGATACCTGATGACCATACCAGTCTTATCACACCCAAACCAGACTGTTATACTGGGCTGCTCTCGAAGTTAGACTACAATTATGGTATCAAGTTAGTCAGAATGTGGGAAGCAATTGTCAGCAAGCAAGAAAATCAGTGATACTACCAGAGCATGCTAGCAAGGCTTTTGCGTAAGAGCTATTCTGATTTTATTGCCATAAAATTCCCAGAACAAAACAAATTTAAACTACCTACTATACACTACTTAATAGTTCAAAAACTACATGGTTTATAAATCTGAAGAACATGTATTTCTGAATTTTAAAAGTATTTCTCTGATTTCTTCTTCCAGGGAAATTATGGTAATATTGATTCAGGGCTTTCTCAGTGATAGTGATTCTGGAGTTTTCTGTTTCCATAATTAAACCGGGATTGTGATGAACTTTTTGTAATGTCTTAATTTTTTGGCTGTTAAATCATTTGGATTACTGCTTTTCTGCATGAAAGTTCATTTGACATTTTACAGACGGGGGAAAAAATAGAAAAATCTTACTGCTTCAGTGTCTTCCTCAGAATATGTAGTTTCTGCAATAAATGTGAAATACTACAGATGTTTGCTTCACTTCCTTATTCCAGCATGAAAATATGCCTCATCTTTACATTTATAGATTAT